GAGTTACATACATAAAAACAGAACAGATGGGAATATTTGAAGAGGGCCCAGGTAAGGAGGGACGTGACTCTCGTGTAATAACAGAGAGAGACAAGTTTATGCCAGACAAAGACGTGTGTTTAAAACTTGATCACTGGGGTATTTTCTGTCCTGAGAGCAGTCTGAGTTACCTTACCTCATTGCCACTCGATAACATGGTTGTCAAGAGCTTGATAGACTGATGAATAAATGAAACTTGAACAATACACAAATGAAAGGAATTGTAAGTGTACAGTGAGTACATAGGGTATCTACAATTACAGTAAATAAAATTTCTCGCCTAGGCAACATAAGCCAGCTCTTGTTTCCTGGAGTGCCAGATAAATTTCCCTGCTGGCATAATACTCCGTAGCAATTTATATAGGGCTTTTGTTGCACCTTTCTTTGTAATATCTGTCATCAAATACTGTGATACCAGCAGCAGGGCAAAACAGCAGAGGGACATACTGCGTGTGAAATCCTGCTAAGTGTAAAACTGACCCTGGTCCCCTCGTCTCTTACGTGGCACTGATACCAACACACAAAACTATTTTAGAATATTTTATAATGCCACAGGGTTGTAAAAGCCAGTGAGATTTATTTCTCTAGGTGTTTGGTCTTCTAGAAAGTAGATTACACCAATATGGGAAAATGCATGCGGGCTTATATAGAGGGTGGAAAAATTTTAAAGAATTGACTGAATATTGGTCATTATTCAGTATTATTAATTTGTTATTTGCTTGATTTTAGGGAGATTCAATGAGTAATCATTATAACTATGTTCTTAAAAGCTTAAGTGAGAGGAGTCATGGTAGGGTAGGAAAAATAATATGGTAAAAGTAATTAAATTAATTTGGATTGTGGCATCTGGACTGGAAAAGGCAATGTTTTGGAGGGCTGTTAGAAACAGATGTTTTGTTAACAGAAGATTAAAAAATGACTAGTTCCATTTGCAGCATTGAGTCATACCTATAAAACTTTATAATTAACTTTCCCAAACAATAGAAAATACTTGTTTTCTACAGAGAACTGTCTAGAATAATATTTTTCATGCTCCAGGGTCCCACTCGATCCATGTAAATTACTGACATGGAACATTGTTTAATGTCCATGTACTGCAAGACAGAACTGTGAAATAAGATCAGAATACAATTTTTGTGTGACTTGGGATCTTTTTTTGTCAGGTTTTGGGGCAAAACAATAGTGCTTGCAAAGACAGGCCAGAGAGTAGAGCAACAGCTCCAGTGAAAATGTTCACAACTTTAGGCCTATTTTTTTAAAAGAAAAAAAAAAAAAAAAGAGAGAAAGAAAGAAAAATGGTGAATTCTGTGACTCCATAAAAACTTACAGATTCAGATTAAACTAACTGACAGTAAGGGTTTTTTATCTTTTTCCTTATTTGTCCTCTCTGTATGTTAATTCCTGCAGGTTCTTCCTCTGCCTTGGCCAAACCTCCTTTTTTATTGCGTTGTTTTATCTACTCTTCTGTCTTCTCCTTCATTCCTGTGTTTCCTGCAGCCTGGGCAAGATTCACGGTATCTGATTTGGCTGCCTGGGACTGAATGGGAATTTGAGTATCCCCATGGGCAGCTCCTGGCCATGTGAGGAGCTGAAGTGCGAGAGACGCCCGCGCTCTGAACCCAGGAGCTTCTCGGGCACGAGAAGTCAAGGGCTGCCACAAAGGCAGAAGTGTCTCTATCCAAACTGTTGAGTGTTTGACTTCTTCACTCCCACTCTACTGGCAGCTTGGCCTGACGTTTCAGTATACGGATATTACACCTGTGTTCTGGAGGGCTCTGGTCCACTCCAGAGCCTCTGAGGACACGTAGTCCTGCTTACCTCCCTGCTCCTGCTTGGCCAGAAGCATCTAAGTCTAAATAAGTAGTGGGCCACATTTTTCCTGTTAAGTGGTTTTATCCAACTCAAGCACTTTCTGCATCTCCATGCTGAACTTTTCTTTGTCGGTTGTACTGGTATTTCAGGTGTAAATTAATCGGCCAAAGCTGAGGCTCAAAATCTGATACCAGGTGCCCATCCTTTATCAGTTCCGTTCCTGATATTCCTTATTTATTTATTTATTTATTTATTTATTTATTTATTTATTTATTTTATCTTTTTAAGTTCTATATATCCCATATTTTAATATAGTTCTTAGTAATCAGTGCTCAGTCTTTCTGTATCCTTCCCCTGCAGGAAGGACACAGGTATAATTTGGTATTGCCAACCGAAGAGTTAACAGCTCATATAGTACTGTTTTTTTGTGTTGTTTTTTTTTTCCACAGATAATGTAGCTGTTTAGTAGAAGTTCTTTCATCAAAAGTTAGGTTTATGTAAAGTGTAGTTGATTAATCTTCATGAAAAATTGTATCTTTGAGAATTTTCTTCTTGGTGTTATTTTTAAGGTGCATACTACTTGATGTCTTCAGCATAACGCTTCTTTATCCATTTTTCTCCTTATACTATATGCATATATTTGAAAATAAGGGAAGGTCTCCTTAGGCTGAGCTTGTAAGAAAGCTTTTTCCCTCCGTGGTGTAAATAGCTCGAGAGGAATGTGGTTAATCCTGTCCCTGTCACATAGCTCTGTAAGGGCTGGGTACACAGGGCGCTCTCTGGTAGCAACACCTGGAGAGCTCCAGCCGAGTGACCCGGGAGCACGTCCTCCCGTCAGCTTCCCTTCATTCCTTACCCGCAGCGATACTATTTTAAGGGAAGAAGGACCTATTTCTGGCACTTGTCTTTCATGTTCCACCACTTCCCGCCTCAGGGTCTCCGTTTGCTTTTTACCAAGGGAAGGAAGATTTGGGGCTTTCTGAAGCAAAGAGGCCGTTCGCAGGGGAAGGATCTTTTAGGCTACAGAGAGACTTAGAATTTCAGATGCTTTTAAATACGGACCTGGAACTTGGGCAACATCTCCCTTCTTTCTCTGGAAGTCTCTGTAATCAGAGAAACCCATCAGGGCAGAAACGGGGGCCTGAATGAAGAGGGAGTTTCAGAGAGCGTGGAGGGTGGAGGTGGCAGCCGCTCGCGTTGCCCTTGGTGCACTGCAGCGTGGTCCCGGCTGCGGGCCCGCCAGGGCAGCGGGGAGGCCGCTGTGTTTCGGCGGCCGCTGCCCGGGGCAAGGGCAAGCAGACAGCTCCGCGGCAGACCCCAGCACGCTCGGCCGCGCTCGGCTGCGCTCGCTTGCTGGCAGCGGCACGTAGGCAGCCGCGTGTGGGGAGCTCCCGCGCCGCCGGCTGTGGGATTGCAGGAGGCCAGCGTGTAGGCCGCCACAGGCACTGACCAGCGCTCTGGGATCCTCTGAGGAGCGTGAAACTAGCTGGACCAAGTGCCTTTCCCCAGCCAGGCGCTGCGGTCCGGACACATCCGGCCTGTCACCTCAGAGCCGACGTTGCTGGATGGTCTTTCCAGCGGCTGCTTCCCACCCGGCTGTGACAGCAAGATGGCAGCGGAGCCCACATGGTGCCAGGGGGCATCACCCCAAGGAGCGTGAGCGCTGCCGACTGCCCCGGGGACGTCTGTGTTTGCACAGCCTCCGAAAACGCCTGGCAAAAACACCCCTGCCCTCCCAGCTGCGTTTTTAAGGCTGTTTGAAACTTTGTCATAATATTCTTATTCTTTTTTATTTTTATTTTTTTTTTTTTTTTGGCCACTGAAGGCTCCCAGCAAAGCATTTATTGACTTTCAAAGAGAACCTTGTGAGGGAAATGCTCCAAGTGTTGCGTCATGAGCTTATGTGATGCAGCATCTTGTAAGCTGGTCCTGATTCATAAACCTGAGCGAGATAATAAATGAGTGGGCAATGATTGTGGCTGCTGGAGGAAGCAGTTATTGCCGAGACGCTCGCTTGTTGTCCTGGTTGTGATTAGCTGCTTTAGGAAGGGAAGCCACGAGTTCATTTTTGATTCATCGAGGAAGGGTACGCAAGGACCTCACACAGTTTGAGTTCTTTGGATTTGATGCCTGCCTGACTGTGGCATCCAGGTAGCTGCAAGAGCTGCTGACGTGTAAACATGAAGGACAGAAATCACAAACAAGCCTTCAAAAAGCTGCAAAAATGAGGTTACATAGCAATTTATTCTTGAAAAGAGCAAAGTAAAGGTTGGCCACATTCATTTCCTGTGACATTACTTGACACTGAACCTGTGGGATGCATCGTGCTTACCTTTAAGTAAAAAAAAAAGGAAAATGAGGTTTTCTGAGAAAAAAAAATGTTTATATGTTTAACCCAAGTCTGATTTCACTGAAGTGAATTGCTAGTTCAGCAACAGCTCCATGCGAGTCGCATGGCTAAGTAATTCTCAAAATTCTGCAGCACTCCTGATGACATCCTATGTGCAAAATTAATTTTACCTAAAGTCAGTAAGTGCTGTAAAAAAAAAAAAAAAAAAAAAAGAGGACACACTGCAGATCTGCAGATGATTGAATTTTTATGTTTACTTGAGAAATTGCAGTTCGTTTTTACCATCTTGCTACAAAATTTCTTGCAAAATGTTTATAAAAAAATATGAACTTTGTATAAATAATAATAAGTCTTTGGCACCCTGCGATAAGTTGTTAAGAGTTGGTCATTGGTCGGGAGAGCGTAGCCTGATGAAACGAGGCTGGCAAAATCATCCTGCGAATAATCCCAGAGCCCTCTGCCCGTGTGCTGATCCCCAGAGCGGCCCTGCAAGGTAGGATCTGTGCGGCTGCCTTAATCCTGTTGATTTCCTTAGTCATGCAGATGCCGAGGGATGACGAAGCCGAGGACCCTTTTGCTGGATTCAGCATCTTCGGATTAGCCGCTGAATTGGGGCACAGTGGCCCCAAGGAGCCCCCAGGCAGAGGATGTCTCTGGAAAGTGTGCAGAAGGGCTCGCAGGGATTCCCGGCAGCGAGCAGAAAGCCACCACCTGCTCCTTAATGTCCTTTTTTTATTATTATTTTTTTCCTTGTTTTCCCCCCTCCGATCCTTTCTTCCTTTTGTCTCCCCCCTCCCAGGAGAAAAACCGTACAAGTGCACGTGGGAAGGCTGCACCTGGAAGTTTGCTCGCTCCGACGAACTGACGAGGCACTACCGCAAGCACACGGGAGTGAAGCCATTCAAGTGCGCGGACTGTGACCGCAGCTTCTCCCGCTCGGATCACCTGGCGCTGCACCGCCGCAGGCACATGCTGGTGTGAGAAACGCTCCCCGGTCCCGGCCGCCGTCCAGAGCTGGCTCTCTCAACTCCCCCGGGGGAACGGGTTCAGCAGGGCTGAATCCCCCCTCCTACAGTGTTAGCACGCAGGGCATTCCGTGGTGTCCCTCTCTCTCAAAAAAAAAATAATAATAATAAAAAGGAAAAAAATAATAAAAAAGCGGGAAAAGAAGTGCCACTCTTCTCCTTGCCCTCCGAAGCCCACCCCGTCCGCCCCTCAGCATGGCCACCCCTCGAAGGCGTCATCGCAGTCACCTGGGAAATAGCCGAAACGCTACAGGAATGGGCATTATTTTACATGCTGTGTCCTTTGGGGGAAAACAAAACAACAACAACAAAAAAATGTTTATAGCTTGTATGTTTTCTCAGCTGTCGGACGTTTTGTTCCTGCAAGTTACTGCCGGTTGGAGGATTAGATCCCGCGAGCCGATGCTGACGATGCTGACGATGGCGAGGAGGAGAGCAAGAGCGCTAGGCCGTTGCTGCGCCCTCCTTCCCCCTTTTCTCGAGTACCACGTGGCCGGGTCGGCGTCCCGGGCTGCGCTTGAGCCACACGCGTGCGCAGGAGAAGACGCTCCCGCTGGAGAGGTCCCACGGTCTGAGGTGAAGGGTCGCTGGAGCAGACTGTTGTTGCCATAGTGTTGGTGGCATTTTACTCTTTTACCACAGTTTTGTCAATGAAAGACACCAAGCATTTAGCCGCCTTCTTTTATCTTTATTTTTTTTTCTCTCCTTCCTTTCGTTTTGTTGTTGAAGCCTGTAAAATAAACAAGGGGCAGCAGCATTTCTGCTGGAAGTACAATATTAAGTATCTGTATTTTACCATGGATGTGTTTGGAACCATTGCCTGATTTGTGTAGAGAGCGCCCATCTAAAACCTACTGCCCATTCTCAAAGTGAATTTTCCTTTCCTATAGGCATCCACCTCCCCAAGACCAGTATTTGGACACAAGGCAGTAGTCAAAGAGCTCTTATACTCACTGGTACCAAGGTTAAAAGTGTAGCCCTCCACAAAAGGGAATTGAGCGTACCAACAAAACAGGGAAGACATGGCTGCATCTCTTGCAGAGAAAAAGCAATAATGAATAAAATGGCTTTCAAGACAATAACTTCCTCCACACCAACAGAAAGGGAGATAGGTGGAAATGGCATGTGGGAACGCCTAAGTTAATTCTTCTGAAGGTTTTTACTGATAGGTACCACAATTTAGTACTTTCTGCCAGTGTGATACTCACTTGTGCCTGGAGGGCCAGTGGGAAAGAGGAGGGAGCTGACCGCTGAGGAGTGGATGAAGAGCAAGTAGGAAGGAGAACCTGCTTGGAACTGGCGCTCTGCAGGACAGGAGGTTTGTCCCTGGGAGTTAGGGAATTGCAAGATTTTGCCAGCTGTCTAGTATGATGTAAATGGCCCTTTATACGGGCCTCAGTGGCTGCCTCTGCTGGGATTTTCAATCCAAGCCTTTTCATATTAAACAAAAGGAAATTCCTGATCATTCCCATACAGCCGTGTAATTGTGCATCAATTTCTATTAATTGAATTATGTAGGAAAGAGAGAAACTCCTGGTCATCAGTTGTTCTGGAAAACAGAAAATGGTGTTTTGCTGTTTTCTTTCCTCGCAAGGCTCTGCCTTGTACAGCTAAATGTGACAAAGAGGAGGTTTGGCAAGAATTTTTTATGTGTTGAGATTTTTATAGCACAGAGATAAAAAATATATACGTGAAGGTCATTTGCAATACATTTAATTACGAATAGTTGGTTCCGGGGATTGCACAGTTTTAACTTGTGGTCCAACTCATTCATTTTTAAATGTTTAACTAGTCCAAATAATTAACTTCTGATTCCTGCGATACTGAGAGTAATGTTGGAGGGATTCTGAAATAAAGATAATCTTAAAAATAAATAAATAAATAAATAAATACAGCACATGACACCCTTACACACACTAAAAATGATTGCAGTTAATTGTGGATTCATATGACTGGAATAATACCTTATAATTGAGTTTGCAGACCATTGTTAGGTTGTCCTGGGATTCATTCTCCACGTGCCCCGGTAGTAGATAATTTCTCAGTTTTCATAAAGTCTCCTCTGTTGAGTGGTCAAATATAGAAATACCAGAAAATAGTCAAGAAAAAGTTGTGGAAGAAACTCTCTGGCATTCCCCAGGGACCAGGTCGGTAATTGACATCCCCAAAAATCAGCAGCTTTTGGCTGATGTGCCCTGTCCTGGTTAGAGTTGTCTGGGAGTGATCATGGACGTTTTAACAGGCTGAAACAAATCAGGGCTTCTGCACAGGCCAGAAGGAGCAACAGGTCTGAGGTTTTACCTACGGCGTTACTCCTGTCAGTTAAAAACCTAATGGCCAGTGTTGTGCTGAGATTGCTGATGGATATCGTTTGAGGTCTATCTTCTATGTACTTCAGTATTGTCTCTTTAAATGAATTGGTCCTTCTGAACATCTAAGGACAGAAGTCAGGAACAAGTTAATTTATACTTTTCTTTTCCTGTCCAGTAATATTTTACCCACTGAAGAGCAGTAATTGAATGGAAGAACCTGGGGCACACAGAATTCCTTCAGAAACTAGGATTTTTTTCCCATGACAAATCAAGTTTATTTGACCAGAAACAAAAGGCTGGTCTGTTAGCTTTCAAAAGGAGTGGTGAGAGAAGTGATCTCTAATGTTATTCCCAAAGGCTAAATATCACTGGGAGAGACTAGTATCTTCTCCAGGCTTCACCTGTAGTCCATGGAGAGAGGAAAACTCCTCTGAGGGCAATTGAGAGTCCTTAAATTTCCTGAATTGCCCCTAGGCAATCTCTCTGTGCTGACTCTATAGAGAGCCCAAAGAGGTTCTTCTCCCCGTGTCAAAGTCAACCCCTTGCTTCTCGGGTGGTGGCCTGTTGCTTTATACATTTGAAACACCACAACAGAAACAGGGTCTGATTTCAGTCAAGGAATTCCATCGGGATAAAGCCACACACATCAGGACACATAGGCCTGCTCCAAGCTTGTGAGCAGGAACAGAATGAAGCTGAGAGATAAAGCAGTATATACTAGAGATAAAGCAGTATATACTGCATTCTTATTTAACAGGCAGGAAACATATGCTGAGCATTTCAAGCACAAACGAGCTCTTCCTGCAAGAGCTTTTCATGTTGCCTTTCCCTCTGGACAGCTTTCACGACCAGCAATCATCTGCTATTGGGTTCACTGAGGCACGTGGGAGGTTCCTCACTCATACCAGAGCCCACAGGCTTTGGCTGCAGTTGTTCTGAGGGGTTGTTTGTCATCTTTTCCCTTCAGAAAATATTTTGAGAGCTGTTTTGTGGAAAGGAAGTGTTGCAAGTCCTTTTGTGGAAAGGAAGCTCCATGCGGAGCTCAAGCCCCCCAAATTCTCAGGGTTCCCCCATATTCTTCCATCAATGGCAGCAGTTCAGACCTGCCAATTTTTCGCACGAAGGCTGACGGAGAATTGCTCCATACCACTCTTGCCGCTGCAGCTCTGTGATTTTTTTTGTCCTACAAAAAAACCCTACATCAGACGCAGCACGCAGAAATACCCAATCTCATCTCGAGGCAGCGCCCTGGCCCTCGTAGGAGCACTTGAGAAATCCAAATGTGCCCTGTCCCTTTCTTTCGGGAGAGATTTGTGCTTTTAAGTCTGAATAAATGATGGGTAAAATTTACTGTACCCATGCCACACGCTGTCAGATTTCGAATGCCTCTAAAAGGATGATCCCAGATTTGTGAGGAAATCTCAGTACCATCACTGTATAATAAAGCGGAGGCAGCTTTGGTACAGAACTTTTTAAAATTATCTTTCTTTTTTGAGCACCTGCTTTATTCATCATTGTAAAACTGACTTTTGCAACAGCAGTTTATGCCGAGGATGAAGATGCAGTATTCCTTATTCTCTATCATGCTTACACAATTAATATGAAATAGAGTTAGAACTGACCTGTATATATGAGTATTTGCTGGAATAATTAATTTTAGCAAAATTAGAAGTGTTAAATGTCATCAGAGATGTCGACATTTGGGTAAAGTCACAGTGCAGAGCATGGACAGGTAGCTGGACAGCCTTTCTCACCTTTTAGTACTGAGAATAACAATGATCATAACTCACATTTCCACTAGCCATATTGAAAATGTACTAGTTGCCATTTACAAATTTATCTTCTGATAATAAATGCTCTTCAATGGAAAAAATCTCTTTCTCCTTTATTGAAGGTGTGTGCCTCAAAATTGAAGTTATACCATTAATATCCTGCTATTAATACCATTAATTGATGGTCCAATTAATACCATTAATTGGACCTTCAGTTTGAAAGGGCCAGTTTAAGAAAAGGTATCTTCCAGAGCAGACGGCATCATGTAGTGAATCTCCCTTTCCCCACATCCTCAGCCATCCACCCTTGCATACAAAACCCAGCATTTCCACGTGCCTCACCCTACGTGCAGTCAGAGACAAACGATTTACTTTGATTTGAGGGAAAAAAACACAAATGAAGAACCAGAACTAAGTATTGTAGAATAAATAACACCTTTTAAGAAACAAGCCTGTATTACTGTTTGATACTTTTGCCTGTGATTTTTAACTGAACGTCTGCATAAAGAAGTTCAATGATTGCTATATTTCCAGTTTCATAACAGCAGTTATTGGGTTACACACACTTAATAACTTCTGCACGTTGATACCTGAAACATTTAAATTCTTATTAAGCTCAGCATCAAGTAAGTTTTAGATTTAAAAAAAAAAAAAAGTAAGTATAAGGATACTGCATCTTTAAAGATCAAAACACAACAGAAGTTTTTTACTATAAGTATTCTGTAGCATGTGTGGTAGTGGAAAGTAATTTTCAGATTCCCAGTTTTACATGGGGTGTAAGTAGATGAAAGGAAGTACATTTAAGAAAAATCTTCTAGATTTCATCATGAAAAAAATGTTTAGATAATACTTTGCAAGACAAAATGCAAGAACTGAATTATT